AAATTTATCTGAATTGAATGTGACTTTATTTAATAACATAAACGGAGAAATTAATTTTGTTTAAAAAAAGTTTATCTGAAATGAATATGATTTTATTTAATAATTTATGTAGTGCAAATATGTATATGCATACAAATGTAGACATTAAAAATAAAAATGAGTTCAATGTAACAAAAGGAAAATGTGTGCATGTACATATGTAAATAAAAACCATTATGAAACAAATAACATCTTTAAATTATTTCTTTTTTCAACGCCTTCATTAGTGTCATTGATGTTTTCCGGTAATTCGATTTACTGGATTATTTCCATCTTCTAAATTTACAAACGTATTCTCAACTTCGAAATTTGTTGTACTATTTCGTATTATGAAATTATGTAAAATTGAACAAGCTAACACGACTTTTGAAATATCTTTTTGAGATTTCACATCTATGTGATTTAAAATCTTAAACTTCTGCCTTAAAATTCCAAAGGCTTGCTCAATAAAAACGCGAGTAGAACTTAAATAGTAATTAAACTGCTTCTCTTCTCTTGACAAATGTCCATTATCTCTGTATGGAACCATTATGTATTTGGAAAGAGGATATGCTGAGTCTGCTAAAATTACAGCATCTTTAGCTAGATGAATCTGTCCAGAAGCTATTCCTTTGTAAAGTGGGCTATTTTTCCACACGTTAGCGTCGTGGCAGCTGCCCGGAAAGCCGATAAAAACATCCAAAAAACGAAAGGCGCTGTGGCATATGCCTAGAAATATGATACCAACTTATATAATTTTTTTTTATAAGAAATATTTTGGAAACGCATACCTGCATAATTATTGAATAGCTTCCTTTTCGATCATAATAGCTTATGGCATCTGTCCTCGGGGTGTTTATGTGGAAATGGGTTCCATCCAGGCACCCTACTACAAATGGAAAGGAGTTCACCCGGCTTTCTTGGAAATCTTCGATGATCTTGGTCTGCTGAGAAGCAGATGGCCAAGAAATCTCGTTTTTAAGCTTACATATAGCTTCAACGGTTTTAAAAAAGACTTTGTGGGCTGTTCCTTTTCCAATACCAAATCTGTCAGAAAGTTCACGATAGGTGACCCTACTATTGCCCAGTTTCCATAATGTTATGTGCAAGCTCTGCTCCAATGAGTACTCACCGGGAACATTTGAAAAAAATGGTTCGAGTTCAGTCTTCAATTTCTATAAATATACCTATTACAATTTTTTATTTCAAAATCAAAGTCACACAACTTACACTAAATGTTTCACCGGACATCCGAAAATGTGTAAAATAAATGTCATTTGGATACAATTTAATCGTTTTAAAAAAGTGAACCGTTTTCGTCACATTTCTCCTCCGACACAATTCCTGTCTCATCCAATTTCTTTTCTTTATGCGCTTCATTCTTTTTTTTGCCATTATCATAAGAAAATTACCGTCCGTTTCGAAATTATCCAGCAAAATATTTATAGAAAACTCCATTATTTTTAATTTGCGTATTAATTTTTGTCAATCTATGCAAAACAAGCGCTGAACATCAGAAAAGTATCAGCTGAGCAGTTGCACCAGGGTTGCAAACGACAATCAGAGCAGCAGTATTGCCGCTTTTATTACGTGCCTCGAACAAGCCCATAGTCTTGCACTTTTAAATGTTTTTATTCTGCTTCTTCCTAGTCCTGAACATTGTTATACAAAAACGAGATATTGGGTAGTGATGTTTCCAAAAGCCACAATTTTTTTAATTAGAAAAAACCTGTATTCGAGAAAAACGTTTTAAACATTTGGATTGTAATGTTAACCTAATGGGGAAACCAAAATATGTTCGTCCATAACTTTTTAAATAGCCTAGCTGGCGGAATGGGGATTTCACATACACATGGAAGAGTAGTTGCAGAATACGATAACATATAAAACTCAATTCTTTCTTAAGTCGACTCAGGCGGTTATTGGTTATGACCACAGATAATATATCCATACCAAGTTCCAGTACTCTACCATGAACACTTCCAGAGATATGGGTGTTTCCAGCGGAAGGTCCACCACGACAAAAAAAATAAAAGTTTTATATCTAACGTATTTACGGGCCGATTTGTCTGCTTTTTAAAATATATACTGGCTATGTAAGTAGAATCATGTTTGCATAAAATGGTCTTCCTAGGTGGTGCCAAGGTCGAGATATTTCGAAAAACCGTATTTATGGTCCGATTTGGTTCGAATTTGGCGTATGTGGTTGAAACATAATAAATCATAGATTTCTAATAAATTGACCCTGAATTGGCGCTAAAGTCAAAATATAAAGTATATTCTACATAAAATACATGTTTTATTTGCGTTGAAAATTCATTTAAAAGCAATATTAACAAAAATATAACGATGGAAATTTATGTCACGTGACGAACCGTCACGTCACGTTTCACACTTGGGGTTGTAAAAGAGAATTGAAACAATTTGCATTAATTCAAAAAACTCTAAAAACAACTAGAATTGCTCCAAATCATATTAAAATAAGTTTTATGAAAATAGCCATCCACAATTCGCAGAGTTTCGCGATTTTGTAAGAAAAGAAAAAATCAACTTCCATTTTTTGTCACGTAACGAACCTCTCTTTAAATGCTTATATTTCAGGACCAAGCAGTTCGATTGATTTCATTATTCGGTTAAATATAGAGCTAATTATGTGCTATACAATGGCCCAAAAAAGTTAAAGAAAACAAATGGTATTCCTTTTTTGTATCACATTGAAATCGTACGACTGTCACGTGCGCCACCATGGGAATGCCCATATGTCAAATCCGGTTGATGGAATTTGATTTTCAAAAGACTTTCTTACTTGTTTTATTTTAATTTGACACATACAGTTTCCGACATATATTTTTTTGAACTTTAAGCATGCCAAAAAATAACTTTTTAATATAGATATGCTTCCGCGAAAACAAGCATTTTAATAAAAAAACAAACTTAATCATCGTACCATTTATGACTTTTTCTTGGCTTTCATATGAGAAGTCGATACAATTATTTTTTAATACAACAAATTGGATATTAAAAAAATAATAACAAATTAATTTTTTTTTTCAAATTTAGTAATGATTTTTTTTTTATATTTTATTGAAAACTGTTCTTCAAATACTTATGTAAAACCTGTAAAAATTTCAGAATGGGTAGTTCAAAATTACGCTTCTAATCAAATTTTAAACAAGTGCGAAAGCGCTAAAAACGCGCGCTCTCTTTGGCGTGCACCTTTCTTTGATTTCGAATTGAAAACACATTGTGATCATATTGTACTAGCAATATAGAAGTATTACATATATGGCTGAAGCACTTGTTCTTCAGTAATATCAGAAAGTCTAAACCTTTTTTCTCGGAGTACACGACCACTGCTTTCCTTTTGTATAAAAAATAATACACCCCTATTCTGCAACACTTTCGTATTCGGATTTTGCTATGAATCGTAGAAATGGTATGCTGCAATCCGAATCGTATCTTCGAGCTTTCGAAATACGTTACAATGGCATGCTTAAAAACGAACGAGTAAGAAATTAGGTGTGTACTCGTATTGAGCGGACAAAATTATCCAGCAGCATAAATTTTGAGAATTTAGCAGCATTCGCTCTCAAAGAGACAAAATATCCACAGAAGTACGAGAACGCAAAAACTTGCAACCTTCGAAACCGCTGATCACTTCCACAGTTGCCACTGGTGGTTCATTTGGCAATTTATTTTCTGCTTGGTACATTTTCCAAAGATTTGGCATTTTATACAATTGAATAGTTTTGGATAAGAAAACCCTTTTTAAGATACAAATTAATTATATCGGAATGAATAAGTAATTTTTCTCACAATTATTTGTGATATCACATGGTGACGCATTCAAAAATAAGACAATCTCCTCCAAACACCACATTGATCCAAAAAAATTTAATGGCTATAGCTACAAATGTAGCTTTAAAATTATAAAATTTTAATTTCAACAATAAACCTACCAAAACCGACAACTTCAGCAAAAAAACATTTCAGCATGCTGCGTTTTAATCTATTTTGGTATATTTAAAGGAAAATTATGGTACAAACGAAAAATTACATACAGCAACCATAGTCAGCACACACTTAAGTAAACAAACTGGAGATGAATACATAGTAAATTAACGAAAAATTAACTCAACAAACGTGCTTAATGAATTTACTCACTTTTTCGTTGTATACTAGCATTAATAATACAATTTTCCATAAATAACTGAAAAAGGCCATATTTTCTTTGGTTTATTAACAAACATTTGTTTGTGATCACCTGATTTTTTTACTTGCAAGTTTTCGCTGGTAAAAAATTTTCCAGCAAAAATTTGCAGCTCTATCACATTTTGCTCTCTCAATTTCCCATACTTCGCAAATTATTTGGGTACGAGAACGCAAAACCAGCAAAAGTTTTCTAAAACTTTTGATAGTTTTGGGTACAAGTACACTCCTATTGACAGCTGTTTTGCCTAATTTTGTACGAAAACAATTCTGTGTCGGAAGCGAGATAAAAATTAAGCAAAAAGATGTAAATCTATGTGTGTTTGCAGGAAATATTAGTGGTGTGCTTTTAAACAGATAAATTTGCCTTTTACATATACGTAAATTTTTATGCACTGCTTTATATGAACGCACAAAAAAGAATGTTTGTTGCCCATTATCGAGAAACTTGGGTACGGTTTAGTTATTCGTACAATGATTTTGGGTTGTTGTATCCAAACGCATCATCCGAATCTAAAAACTCTAACATGCACATGTGGTCATTTAAAACATAGGTTCCAAATTTCCGAGCTCTAGTTTATTATTAAATTTCGGTGTGGGTTCTGTGCAAAGATACAGTGGATAGAGTAGCCAGAGTTATATGCACAGTAAATGTTGTATATGTACTTTTCACAGTAGAAGAGGGGCTTCCGCGCTCTTCTCCGGCAACACAGAAAGGAGAATTCTCATTAGTAAGGCTTATAATCCCTAAGCGAGGCCGAAGGCAGAAGCAAGCGCATCAGGTGGTGGACCCAACAAAGTGCATGTTTTCAATGGCTTGGAAGAAGCTGTTATTGCATTAACTGGATTGAGAACCAGTTCTTCAGGCACGGCGGTTGTGGTTCAACAAT